CAATTCTCTCGACTCAAGCTCTCTCTCTCAATTCCCTTGGCTTCCAAGATCATTGCTCCCACAAGCACATTCTCGTGTCCATAGAATAGCAAGGAAGATCGTTTGGTGGTGTCAATTTACCCAAATCCCCTGTATTTTCATTTTCCATTTGTGGGTTTTGTTCCTCAAAATTCAAGAACAAAGATCAATGTTTCCGCTGCGGGATTAATGTTCTTTCAATCTTAACATCCAATTGATGGAGCTCAAGATCAAAATGTACAAGTGCCATGATTTTTCTGAAAGAGTCTTTTAATGAAACTAGAGAGAAAGTCTATTTATAATCAATTTCTTCATTTTGATTAAAACCTTTGACTACAAGACATGCTTCATACCTTTCCATATTACTTTTAGCATCTCTTTTGGTTTTGAAAATCCACTTACAACCAACATGTTTTTTACCTTCTGACAATGGAACAAGTTCCAAAACTTTATTGGCTTGCATAGATTTGTACTTCTCATTCATGGCTTCAATCCACTTTTGAGAATTTAAATCTCGCATGGCTTGACAAAAGTTCATTGGATCATCTTCCATCATTCCACTAGTATTTTCATGTTCTAGGAGAAAGACAATGAAATCATTTGGAATAGTGCTTTTTCTTTCTCTAGTGGATCGCCTTAAAGGAATTTGTTCTTGAGGTTGTTGAGTTTGCTCCTGATGAACAATTTCTTCATCATGAATAAGGGTTTGTTCAACATTGTATGGTCGAGGATCCTGATGTGCTTTTTCTTCAATGACAGGTATAGAAATTTGTACACTGTAAAAAACAGTAGTAGGAATAGACATTCAATTCCTCCTCATAAGAAACAATGTCTCTAACTTTATTTCTCCCCCCAAACTCAAAGTCCTAAAAAACTGTTACAGTTCCTGTTTCAAAAATTTTATGATAAATTTTCTTAAGTGTGGGATCATAAAATTTATACCCCTTTGATCTCTCAGCATGACCAATAAAGTAGATGATGATTGTTTTGAATTCCAACTTTTTTTCATGTGGCCTATAAGGCCTAGTCTCAGCTGGACATCTCCAAACATGAAAATGTTTTAGACTTGGTTTCTTTCCAATCCAAAGTTCATATGGAGTCTTTACAACTGCTTTATTTGGGACTCTATTAAGAATATAAGCTGCTCACTACTTATCCCAGAGTAACTCTGGTAAAGTAAAATGACTAACCATACTTCTTACCATATCTTTAAGAGTATAGTTTCACCTTTTAGCCATACCATTCATACTAGGAGAACTTGGTAAGGTGTATTGTAAGACAATTCCACATTACTCCAAGTATCAAGCAAACGGTCTTGGACGTTGTTCACTTGAATCATCATATCTACCATAGCATTCACTGCCATGGTAAGATCTAACGCTCTTAATTGATTTGTTAAGTTGTTTCTCAACTCGACCTAAAATTGTTTGAACATGTTTAACGACTGTGTTTTTTCATGAATAAAAAATAGGTATCCGTATCTAGAGCAATTGTCTATGAATAATATGAAGTATTGTTGACCATTTTATTAAGCTTTAGGAAATTGTCTATAAATATCTATATGAATTAATTCTAAAATGTTTGTAGCTCTACTAGTACCTAAATTCTTTATTTTGGTATGTTTTCTCTTGATGTAGCCAATACAAATGTCAAAGTCTATAAAGTCAAGGGAACATAAAATATCATCAGACACAAGACGTTCAACTCTGGATTTGGAGATGTGATCTAAACGCTTGTGCCATAAAAAAATGAATTTTTTTGACTTCTTTTACGTTTTGAACCAGAAGATTCTGAATGCAATGATTCATTATAGGACGCAGTTATGTCAAGCACATATAAATTATCAAAGGCATTAAGATAACCGATTCGAACATTATTAGAATTTATTGACAAAGTAAACATATTGTTTCCAAAGGAACAATTAAAACCAAAATTTTCCAATAAGGAAACTGAAACCAAATTTTGCAGAAAAGACGGAATAACAAAAGTGTCCTATAAATCCAAATAAAACAGTAGATAATACTAATCTAAAATACCCTATTGCCTCCATTGCTACCGATTTGTCATCACCCACAAAGATGTGTCTTTCAACATCAGTTGGTTTTTGGTAATTCAGGCAACCTTGAATGAAAATACTAATATGAGTAGTTGCACTAGAGTCTGACCACATGTGTTTTGAGGCACTGAAGTCAAATTTACTTCAAAATAGACAAAGTAAGAGATGTACTTTTCTTTTTACACCAAGCATGATACTTGGTACATTCTTTCTTTGAATGTTTAGGTTTTCCACAAAAGAAACAACCTTTACAATCTTGTTGTTGTTGTTTCTTAGGAGCTGACCCTTAACAGCTTCATATTTCTTTTTTCTTTTGGTATTTTCCTTGAAGGTGTTTGCCAAGTGAACACTTTCTGTTATGTCTTGTTTTAATCTCTCTTCTTCTTGAACACAATAAGAAATCAGTTCATTGAGAGTCCACTCATTCATTTGATAGTTATAACTGACCTTAAACTAATTAAAGTGTGTAGGAAGAGAGATTAAAACTAGATGCACTAATCATCAGATAGGCGAAGCTTAAGTGCTTTTAGTTTTGATGTCAGATGAGAGTATATTTCCATAACGTACTCCCTAATATTTTCTTTACCTTTATATTTTATTGAAATTAAGCTTTTCAAGAGCATGCTCGTTTCAGCCTTATCATTTTTAGCAAAACATTTCTCTATTTAGCAAGGAAATCTTTGGCATAATATTTATCCCTTCGAATACGACACTCTCTAAATACGTCAGGAATTCCGTGCTTTATATGATCATTAGACACATGTGGTTTGAGCGATCCCACTTCTAAAAAATCCTCATTTTATCGGGAAAACTATAGATCGTAGGAGAAGGAGGTTGCTTTATCCTAAGTGCAAGATCCAAATCCATGCAGCCCAAAATTATATGTATATTTTCTTTCCAATATTTAAAGTTTGAACCGTTAAGAATGGTACGCTGTTGAGGTTAGCAGATATTGTAGCAGCATTTGCTGCTATGAAAAGCAAAGTTAAACATACAATAATGCTCACATCAGTAATTATTAATATTCAATAATAAACTATGATAATCATAAAATTCAAATAATGGCTAATCCCTTCCTAAGATACCTAACACAACATCAACATCAAGTCTTTGGACAGTAATATTGAAGCGGTAATCTTGGTGTAATGATCAAATATTGACAATAAATGCACGTCAAATTAATAAACTTATCTTTAGATCAATTTATTATTCGCATGCCCAAAAGTTTTATAATTGTCACAAATTTATCACCACAAAAAAACGTATATAATTCACGCCAAATATTAACCTTCCTTTGGATAGACTAATATTTGCAGAAATATACAAAACAGTCAAACATCAAATACATTCATGAATAATCTCCCCAACAGAGATCACTTAGGCAGCATCAAATTTCAGTTATTCAATTTATATGTTTAACACAATATTTAATAACCATAAAATTAAATTTACCAAAATTTGAATTTATGATATTTTGAATTAAAGTATATATCTATAAAACAACATAATCATACATAATACAAATTTAATGCATAAATTTCATAAACCAGTATATATCTATAATATATATAAAAGTACGGACGTAGAAGAAACATTTTTGAACCATATTGCCTTTGATCTTTTAGTAATACTCATTTTATCCTTCTTTGAATTTATATCTGTCTCTCATCCATATCTCTTTACTTGTCTCTCCCCCTCTCCCACTAATCTCTTTACGTGTCTCTCATTTATTATTATTATTATTATTTTTTGTTATAACTAAGTGACCCTCTTAAGTTGGGTAGAATCCATTTATGACCATTGATTTTGTCCTTACTTTATGAAAGAGGAATGTGAATAGGTATCATTCTCCTACCCTTTCTCTCTCTCATATCATTTAACTATTCCAATTTATTATATTATTTTTAAAACATTAAATGGAAAAAAAATTGTTTACTTTCACCCATCAAAATATTAATTTTGAATTTTTTTTTTCATTTTCTCATACTTTTTTATTCAATAATTCACTAAATATATATAGATAATTATTGCTAGTTGATATTATTCATCTTATAATTTTATCTATAGTATAATTAAAAACTACCATCTTTGAAAAATATTGTTGGACGATTTTCTCTCTACAAATTTTAAATGTATAAAAGCATATTGTTATTTATCATTAGTTTTCCAATAACTATTAAATTATATTAATTACATAAATTATATTAATCATAAAATGTAATATGGAATTTATGTCTCAATTTACATAAATTAATTTAAGAATTATAACCTTTACTTATATTTAATTTTTGAATGTCAAAGAGTTTTGGAATCTCATGAGTTTTGTAACTCTTTCATTCTCTATCATATAAAATGACTCATTTTTTTTTTCACAATTTGAGCTACTTTTTTGTTTAGTCTTCTTTCTTTCTAGATTTCTTATTTTTCGGTTTCTAAGATTAATAGTTGAACACCATCAACTGTTGTTTAGCAATTTCAACCATGAGTGAGAGGTAAATTTATTTTTTAAAATTATGTGCATGTTGATTTTCTTCTTTCTTAGATACTAGCAATTATTTTTATATTATTTTATAGTTAAAATTTCAAATTATTTTATTATTTTAAATTTGTATGCATGTTTTGAGTTTGTATATTTTAATCTTAGCTAAAGTACGTTATCAATCTTTTGAATTTTTATTATTATTATTTTTTTTTTGGAATACAATTTTGAATTCTTAAGTTGATATTTTAATTCAAATTAGAAATATGTAAATTAATTTTAATTTTAATAAAATATAAATTATATTAGATCAATTAATGATTGATATGATTGAAATTGTATACTTATATATTAATTATATAATTGAAAGAAAATTTATAATAAAGGCAATGTATACAAAATTGATTATAAAATTTAAGCATATTCTAGTGTTATAATTTACTCTTAGATGTCAAATTTGCTTCTGTCCAAAATACTAAAGGGTAAATATTTCCCGGATGTTTCGGTTCTTGAAGTGAATGAGCATTCACCTGATTCTTATATGTGGAAAGGCCTTCTTTGAGGAAGAGATCTTCTTTCCCAAGGGCTAAGATGGAAGGTGGGAAATGACAATTCGATTTGGTTTCTTAAAGACAAATGGATCTCAAGGGAGGGCACTTTCCAACTCGCTTCTCATAGTGATGATTCTGACTCTAGGAGGGTGGTTGATTTCATCACCCCAAATTTTGAGTGGGATATTGATCAACTGAGGAATAGAGTTAATGAGATTCCTATTAGTAAATCGGGAATTCAAGATTCTTGGCTGTGGCATTTTGACAAGAGAGGGAAATACTCAGTTAAAAGTGGTTACAAATTCCACATGTTTCTCAAAGGTAATGCAACGTCTTCAAGCCATAATCAAATCACACAGTGGTGGCAAACACTATGGAAGCTTAAAATTCCCTCGAAGATTAAGATTTTTATCTGGCGAATCTACAATGGGTGTATCCCAACTAGAGCAAATCTTGAGAAAAAGGGATTGGAATTTCACCTTTATGCCCTCAGTGCTCTAAGTCGATTGAGTCGATTGATCACGCTTTATTCACTTGTAAAAGAGCCCGAAATCTGTGGAGAATGATTTTCCCTGACATTCAACTCCCTAAAATCTTCCAAAGCAACATTCAAGATAGGCTTCATTACCTGGATAGTACTCTGTGCAAGAAGGATCTCGAAATTGCCTGTGTTACGTGCTGGTCTCTCTGGAATGACAGGAACCACCTTTGCCAGTCTAGACAAATCCCGGATGTTAATTTCAAAAGAGATTGGATATTTGCATATATGGTAGAAATAGTGAAAGGGGAAGAAATAAGATAGGAATCGATGGGGGCTATACCTCGGACTGTTAATGATAGGGATGTTTGGAGCGTTGGCGGCCTCCTAATCTGGGCTGGTTCAAAATAAATGGCGACGCCTCTTGTCAGACAGTTTCGGGAAGCACGGGTCTGGGGCAAATTTATCGTGATGAAAGTGGCGAGGTGATTGTGGCCAAGATCAAACTCAAAGCGTTTCTGCTTTCTCCCCTGCGAGGTGAAATTTCTGCGATTTTAGAGGGTGTTCTTTTGGGTCTCCATCACAACTTGGGTCAATTTGTCATTGAATCCAATTCTCTCACAACAATAAAGATGATCGAAGGTGAAATTGAAGATTTCAGTGAGAATGAGACCCTAATTCATGACATAAGGGAGTTATCTTCTTCAGCTACAGTTCGGTTTGCCCATGTCTCCCGATGGTCAAACACGTTAGCTCACAAGCTGGCTGCTAAAGCTTTTTCCATCGAAGTCCAGCTAGGTTCCGAGTCTTTTTTCCCTCTCTGGCTTGTACAAGAAGCCATAGCAGAGTTTCAATGTTTTGTAGCCCCGAGGCTCATATCCCTATTTAATGAAGCTTTGTTTCTTTTAAAAAAATTACTCTCAAAATTATACAATCATATTAGATATATTATATAATAAAATAAAATTTTAAAAATAAAAATGTGCATATTGCACGTGGTAATAAAATAGTATAATTTTTATAATATTATCCCAATTTTTTTTAGATAAGACCTCATTCATCACTTTTTTATATATAGAAAAAGGCTAACACACTTATTAATTTTTTTTATCTATAATAAATATTAAGTCCACTACACACTTCTACATAAACAATATTAAATGTTTTAATTGAAAAATAAAATAAATATGAAAACTCATGACTTAGCCTCTTTTCCACATTTTCACCTCCAAAATTTTGAATTCTAAACTTTTATATATACAATATTTTGAATTCTTAGAAAATATTACATTAAAACTACAAAAATTTGTGTAATTTATATATACTTTTTGAGTTACAATGAAATAAGTCCTCCAACGTTTGTATAACTTGCTTAGATTGAAAATTAATATATAACGTGCAAAGCAAGTTCTAAAATAATACTAGTATAACCAAATGTACAATAAAAATGCACCAAAACAATATTCAATTTTATATGAATATCTAAATTCATATTAAAACAAATATATATGAAACATAATTATGCACACGGTGTATAATTCCTAATAACACAGTAGAAACAAAATCATTCAAACAATGAAGAGTTGCATTAATGTACACAATAACTTGGAATTCCAAATTTTCAAATTGAAACTAAATCATGCCTAGTAGTCGCTCCGGTATAAAAATTAACAAAATTGGCAAATTTTGTTTAAGTAACTAGGGTTATGCTATACCAAAAATGGGTTTTAATGTCGGGCATAGCGACATTAAAGGGAAACGATGTGGGAGATGCGTCTGACATCGTTTCAACTGTTATTGTAAGTTTTTATGTCTGGCGGGGTCTTGCTTTTTTCTTTGTGTGTTGTCTTAAAATCGTTTTGATTGGATTCACCTATGATATTTTATCTGATCACCATTAGATTCATATTAAATACTATAGGTTACGAAGGAAATGTATATTTGAATATGATTCAAATATTAGTTGACTTTATAAACTCATAAAATAATAGTTGATTTGAGAAAAAGTCAGCTCTCCATCAGGATGAGTGTACTGTCAGTCGATGACTGATATTCCAGAACCTAGGTTTCTGGGTTGGCTATTTCATTACCGATTAGATAGGTTAGACAAGTTAGGTAGGATGAGTGCTGAATCTTTAGTTGATGAGTGAAGGAAATTGAAGTTAACTTAAGGAGAGGACGAAACAATTATAGACATTGATGGGCAGTCAGCAAGGGATGTGGAAAAATCGTTAGAATCAAGCCTAGTGGGGAAGATACTCCTGAAAAGAAACATTACTGGGAGGTTTTACAGAGGGTATTGAAGAATGTGTGGAGTATTGATGGGGATTTTGGTGTGGAATGGTTAGGGCAAAATATTTTTCTATTCCGATTCAAGAGTGTGACAACTAGAAACAGAATTTTAAGAGGGGGCCCATGGTTCTTTGACAAGGCATTGATAGTTTTGGAGAAGTCGATTTCGACGATAAACTTGTCCGCTATGTGCTTTAACAAGACTTCGTTCTTGGTGCACTTCTGTGATATCCCCTTGGTATGTATGAATGCAGTGATGGCGGAACCTTTAGGCAATGTAATAGGGAGTTTTGAACATGTGGACTGTTTGGAGGATAGGCTATGTTGGGGCAGAAGTTTGAGAGTCAGGGAATCCGTAGACTGAACCAAACCTTTGAGAAGGGGCATCAAAATTAATTTAATTGGGCACTCTGATGGTTGCTAGATCCCGATTAAATACGAGAGGCTACCAGACTTCTGTTATATATGTGGAAAATTAGGTCATACGATGGTGGAGTGTGATGAGGCGGGGAGGATATAATTCAGCAGAGAAGTAGTACACAATATGGGTCGTGGATGCACTATCAAGGTGGTGGAAAAGATGGTAGTAAGAAACAGAAGGGCCAATATAGTAGTGCGGTGAAGGAAAAGAACAACGAGATTTGCGTGGTGAACGAAGATGTCCAACAGGAAGGGGTTGAGATCAATGAGATACCAACGTTGACGGAAAGGGCAACTAAGATGAGGAGATGTATGAAGAAGATGGAGATAGATGAGGGGTTGTTAGTTAACTCAAAGCTACAAATACAAAGTTTGAATGTTAGTTTTGAATTGGTTTGGTCAAAGACCTAGTTTTTAGGAAGTTGTTGATATTCCTTTTGTAGTTGTAGTCAAGTCTAAGTTGCTATTCTTATGGGTTAGTTGAGTAGCTAATTATGTGAAGATAGTTATGTTTATTTTTAGCATCATAGTATTTATTTATATGGAGCACTAATGAATGAAATTATTACTTCCCCCACTTTATTATTTCTCTCTCAATAAGTACATCAAAAGTGGTATCAGAGCCTTAAATTCTTAAGGGATCTGTGAGTGAGGATTAGTGAAATATTCCCGAGAGAAACTAAGTGATACACCTGTGAGAGTTTTGTCCAATGGAGTTAGGATCAAACAATCTTTCTTCACTGGCTCCACCTGTGTTTGATGGTGAAAACTATCAAACATGGGCAATCAGAATACAAGCGTACATGGAGGGTTGTGATTATTGGGAAGCAATTGAGCAAGATTATGAAATTGCTCCACTTCCTGATAATCCAACAATGCATCAGATCAAGACTCACAAGGAGAGGGTCACCAGGAAGGCAAAGGCTCGAGCTTGCCTATATGCAGCTGTGTCTCCCGCCATATTCAACAGAATTATGGCATTGAAGTCAGCAAAGGAGATCTGGGAGTTCCTCAAAAGTGAGTATGAAGGTGATGAGAGGATTAAAGGCATGAAGGTGTTGAACTTGGTAAGGGAATTCGAGAGAATCCAAATGAAGGATTCTGAGTCCATCAAAGAGTACTCAGATAAGTTGATCGGGATTGCTAACAAGGCAAGAGCATTAGGAATTGATCTATCTAACAATAGATTGGTTCAGAAGATTATGGTTTCAGTACCTGAGAGATATGAAGCAACCATTGCTTCCTTAGAAAATTCTAAAGATCTCACTAAGCTCAAAGTGATAGAAGTAGTGAGTGCTTTACAAGCACAGGCGCAGAGGAGGTTGATGTGACAAGAAGGAAGCATTGAAGGGGCACTGAAAGCTAGAATGCAGCAGGGAGAATATGAAAGAGAGAAGAAGTAGAAGAAGGGAAGTGGCAGCAATAGCTCAGAGTCTGTTGTAAAGGATGCTAGTAGTGCATGCAAGCACTGTGGAAAGCATAATCATCCACACTTTAGATGCTGGAGAAGGCCAGATGTGAAGTRTAGAAGGTGTCATTTATTGGGGCACATTGAGAGGTTCTGTAAAGAAGCAAAAACTCAACAGCAAGGAGGAGCGCATGCTGCAGTACAACAAGAGGAAGATCAACTYTTTGTGGCTACTTGTTTCTCATCAGTCACTCAATGTGAYAGTTGGTTGGTTGATAGTGGGTGTACCAATCAMATGRCAAGTGACAAAGAGTTGTTTAAGGACCTTGACAGGTCATTTAAGTCAAGGGTGAAGATAGGGAATGGTGAGTATCTTGAAGTAAAGGGGAARRGCACARTGTCAATAGAAAGCTGTGTTGGAACCAAGTTGATTACTGAAGTATTGTTTGTCCCTGRGATTGCTCAAAACTTGTTAAGTGTTGGTCAACTAGTAGAGAAGGGATTTAAAGTGTTGTTTGAATATGAGAAGTGTCTCATTTCTGATTCTAATGGGAATGAGTGGTTCAAAATAAAGATGCAACACAAGAGCTTCTCATTAGATCCAGTAGAGAAGGATCAGATAGTTTCCAAGTGTCAAGTGAATGACACTGAGTTAAGGCACAAAAGATTGGGGCATTTTCATCAAAGGGGGTTGCAGTATCAGCAGGAAAATGAGATGACAATAGGAGTACCAATTCTGGAGGAGCTTAAAACAAACTGCGGAGTTTGTTTGCAGAAGTCAATCTGAAAAGAAGCTGAGAAACTGCAGCTCAGCCACACTGAATTATGTAGACCTCAACCAACTCTCTCACTGAATAGTAGCCGATGGATTGAAAATCAAAATGGTTGTAATGTCCAGGTGGTGAGGATTGATACTGGGACAGAATATACGTCGCAAAGATTCAATTCTTTCTGTGACGAAGATGGGATAGAGCATCAACTCACTGCTCCATATTCTCCACAGCAAAATGGAGTTAGTAAGAGGAAGAATAGGAGTATTATGGAGATGACAAGATGCTTATTGCATGAGAAGAATTTGCCAAAGGAGTTTTGGGCTGAAACAGCAAACACAATCGTCTCTCTATTGAGTAGACAACCTACAAGGGTCTTGGAGAAGAAGACACCCTATGAAGTTTGGTTTGATACTAAACCAAAGCTGGCCAATTTGAAGGTGTTTGTAGCATTTGAGTCAGAAGGAGAATGTTAGTTAACTCAAAGCTACAAATACAAAGTTTGAATGTTAGTTTTGAATTGGTTTCGTCAAAGACCTAGTTTTTAGGAAGTTATTGATATTCCTTTTTTAGTTGTAGTCAAGTCTAACTTGCCATTCTTATAGGTTAGTTGAGTAGCTAATTATGTAAAGATAGTTATGTTTATTTTTAGCATCATAGTATGTATTTATATGGAGCACTAATGAATGAAATTATTACTTCCCCCACTTTCTTATTTCTCTCTCAATAAGTACATCAATAGGGGTTCCAAGGAAAAGTTACGAGGAAGATTCCGGCGAGGGTGGGAGTTCAATGGAGAGTAACCCAGGCGTGATGGAGGTAGTTGTTGGAGGGATGATTAGCCCCGATGATAGTTCAAAAAACCGGGGGGACATGTGGAGAGGCGGAATTGATGGAACGGTGAGTTTGGAGGGGTGTGCAGGTCTGAAAGGACGAGATGATGATTTTCCAGAAAGTGCACAAGAGAAGACTAATAGAAGTGGAGGATAGTGGTGGGTGTTAATGATAGATATTAAATCTATTACTAAGTTGTTATTAGTACAGTTATTTGGTTAGCAGTTGGTTATTGTAATCTGTATATATTTGTAAGCTTACATTATTATTAAATAGAGTTGAGAGCACTTCCTTATTTTTGGAAGATTATAACATGGTATCAGATGGCTTATGACTCAGCGTCTTGATCCTGTTTCCACGTTCTCTGCTGCATAACCCACCACGTGTTGGTTTTTGCCCAAATTTTTTTGCTTGCGCTCTCTCTCTCATCCGTATCCATGGCGGATTCTTCGCAACCACCTAAAGATCTTTCATCTCCAATTTTCTTACTGTCTAACATCTGTAATTTGGTATCTCTTCGACTCGATTCTTCAAACTTCGTACTTTGGAAGTTTCAACTTACAGCAATCCTTAAAGCCCATAAACTCTATGGCTTTATAGATGGATCGACACCAAAACCTGCTGAGTTCTTGGTTTCNGAAAAGAAGAAAGAGTCATCCAAAGCAAGCAAAATCCATAAAAGAAAACCAAATTAATAGAAAAAAATTGAGCTGAATCTAGCTAGGGTGAGTATACCTGAGGCTCAAATATTGGTCCTCCAAGCTTGGAACCTCCAAAACAGCAATATGGAAAGCCTCAGACCAAGAGATTTGGGTTGGGGAAATGGCCTGTGAGTTCCCCCAGCGGTAACTCCCACTCAAATTCATAAAATTTCTCAAACTTTTCTTCTCAAAAGGCTGATTGAACACTTTCTTTTGCTCAAACATCACTGCCTTCAATGCCCTCTCTGGAACCCCATGATTCACCACTTGAAAAAAACCCCAATTTCTTGCTGCTTCAACAATCTGCCTTTTGCACTTCTCTCTCTCTAAATTCCCCATTTTTAGAAGCCCTAAATCAATAAGTGGTAGCTCATCACATTCCTCCACCACTAGTTCCCTTTCATCCTCCAATATTCTTCCATTTTCACCCTCCTCACCATCTTTCTTCATGAGGGCATTATAGAAAACTTGTAATGGAGGTTCAATTTCCATACTTTTTATCTCTCCTTTTAAAAAAATCAAAAAATTAATGAGGTTTTAGATTTCTCACCACATAAATAATTAGGTTCAATCTTCAAAAAGTGGAGTGAAGTGTATATTTTTCTAAAAAAGTTTGTTTACTTCAAGAGACATAATTACCCCTTCTTTTGACAAGTGCACAAAATTAATTGCTAGTTTTAGAATATAGCCTTTTGAAGTTCTAGAAAAGACAGTGTATAATGCTCTACAAACCATACAATAAAATATCTTTCTATAATTTCTGACGACATGTTAGAAAGTAGAAACTTCCCTGTTCATTGATTATTTTTACAATAATTTCATTTTCAATTTGTACTTTATATGTTGGATTTTAGTACAATGAGTTGTTTTTTCTCTAGAAAAAAAAAAGTGGAAATAAATACATATAATGTATATTTTCCTCTTTAGGATGAAGCTGTGAAAACAAAAACTTACCAATAAAAGACATGAAGTTAAAATGAAAAATAAAGTAGAATTTTTAAATCAAAGCTTAATATATATACTCCAGCATATATTTTGATGATCAATCTCTTCATACCTTTTAAATTTTGTTGTATTTAACCTCTTCTCAGCTCTAAAATTCAAGCACTGCTCTTCAAGTAGCTGCAAGAGGGAGAAATTTTCAGAAGAACAATGAAGGAAAAAGAAGAAATAATGCGGTTGATTTTGGAAAAGCAACAGATATTTCAAAAGATCATTAAATTGAAAAAAGGCACTGATCCAAGAGAGATATCTCCATAACATTATAGGAAAGAGCCTAAAATTCCAAGTGATCTGCAATGTCTTTTATACATGAAGATGGATTTGAAGAAAAAGTTTAATTGTGTGAGGTGGAAGAATAAGAGTTTTAGATTTTGTGATGGACAAATTCTATGGCTGAGTGGAGAACACGCGTTTGAGTGTGTCATCAGACAAGATTGTGAAAGAGAAAGAAGGGGGTTAGCTTATTGTGGTTTAAAGTTAAATTCTTTAAAAGGGTAGACAATTTTTATGAACAGATAATGCTTGCAAGAGAAAAAATGGAGCTAAATTGGAAGTTTTTCCATCTTGGGTTTTCTGTTTTAGTTGCAATATTTTCCTTTTCCAAACTTTTGATTGCAAATGACTTTTAACACCCCTCACAAGAAATATATATATTATTAGAAAATATAACCTCATTGATGTAGGTGAAAAATATAGGCAACAAGAAGAGGCCTAAACAAAAGTACTCCAATTTAAGAGAAAAAAATAGAAGGATCATAATTACCAAAAAAATAGTATATTTTAATGACCAAAATGCTTATGAGAGATTTTAATGATGTGTCGGTAATGTTAATGATAGATATTAAATCTGTTACTAAGTTGTTATTAGTACAGTTATTTGGTTAGCCGTTGGTTATTGTAATCTGTATATATATGTAAGCTGCGAGCGAAATGGGAGCAGCCTAAACCGTGAAAACGGGGTTGTGGGAGAGCAATACAAGCGTCGTGCTGCTAGGCGAAGCGGTGGAGTGCTGCACYCTAGATGGCGAGAGTCCAGTAGCCGAAAGCATCACTAGCTTACGCTCTGACCCGAGTAGCATGGGGCACGTGGAATCCCGTGTGAATCAGCAAGGACCACCTTGCAAGGCTAAATACTCCTGGGTGACCGATAGTGAAGTAGTACCGTGAGGGAAGGGTGAAAAGAACCCCCATTATTATTAAATAGAGTTCAGCGTCTTGGAAGATTATAACATGGTATCAGATGGCTTATGACTCAGYGTCTTGATCCTGTTTCCACGTTCTCTGCTGCATAACCCCACGTGTTGGTTTTTGCCCAAATTTTTTTTGCTTGCGCTCTCTCTCATCCGTATCCATGGCGGATTCTTCGCAACCACCTAAAGATCTTTCATCTCCAATTTTCTTGCTGTCTAACATCTGTAATTTGGTATCTCTTCGACTCGATTCTTCAAACTTCGTGCTTTGGAAGTTTCAACTTACAGCAATCCTTAAAGCCCATAAACTCTATGGCTTTATAGATGGATCGACACCAAAACCTGCTGAGTTCTTGGTTTCGTMTTYGGACARTTCGTCATCTGYTCCGCCTGCTGCGAATCCRGCTTTTAGCGAGTGGATCGCCAAAGATCATGCTCTCATGACTCTTCTGAATGCTAYTCTGTCATCATCGGCTCTTGCSTATGTGGTTGGATGTGATTCRTCTCAACAGGTTTGGCAAACCTTGGTGAAGCACTATTCATCCTCGTCCAGAACAAATGTGGTCAATCTGAAGTCAGATCTTCAGTCTATCAGCAAGAAACCTGGTGAMTCTATTGATYTCTATGTGCAGCGAATCAAAGAACTAAAGGACAAACTTGCAAATGTATMTGTTCTTGTTGACAACGAAGATCTGCTCATCTACACTCTCAATRGTTTACCACCCGAATTCAATGYGTTTCGTACTTCGATGCGTACTCGCTCTCAATCGGTATCATTTGAAGAGCTTCATGTCCTATTAGTTTCTGAGGAAGCAGCAATTGATAAATAGACCAAACGCAATGAAGTCCTTGTTCAGTCTTCTACTCTTCTTGCGAACATGGCTACGAAAGGTCAGAATTCTTATCCTAATATTTCGCGCGGTCGAGGTTTCAATGGTGGTGGTAAAGGGAAATTCCCTAACCCTAATAATCGATCCAAAATGGCCTCTCTGAGTACCACTGGKGGTAGARGCCGTGRTTCYTCAGGAACTGCTGTACCATTTGGAATTCAACCRAATYGGTCGTCTTATGATACTYAACACCACCGCATCGTTTGTCAAATTTGTGGCCGCACTGGACATAGTGCTCTAGACTGCTACAACYGGATGAACTACAATTTTCAAGGCCGGCATCCTCCTGCCCAATTAGCAGCAATGGTTGCTACCCAAAATCAGGCTGCTTACAATGCTTCTGGTTTTGTCGAATGTTGGCAGTGGTGGTACTTGGCTTACCGACTCAGGATGTAATACTCACATTACTTCTGATTATGGTCAACTAACAGGTGCTTCTGAATGTAGTGCTGATGAGCAAATTACTGTGGGCAATGGTCATTCTCTACCCATAACTCATTCAGGTTCTGGTCTTTTACACACTTCTTCTTCCTCACTTGTTCTCAAACATCTTTCTTACTCACATGATATTTCGTCCAATTTAATGTCTGTCTATCGACTTTGCCTTGATAACGATTGTTCCATAACCTTTAATGCTAATCAGTTTCTCATTCAGGACAACTCTTCGGGCCAGATTCTCTTTCAAGGCCCAAGTATTAATGGGCTCTATCCCATCCACTCTGCTCTACTTCCATCACATGATCAAATTCTATCTCGGCCTAATGTTGCTCATGTTGGAGCTCGCACGTCCTCTTCAGTTTGGCACGATAGACTAGGTCATCCCAGTAAGTCTGTTCTTAGCTCTGTTCTTTGTTCTATGAATCTATCATCATATACCACTTCTAAATGTGTTTGTATACACTGTCTTCATGGTAAAATGCATAGGCTATCTTTTCCTCAGTCAGTTACGTTTCATTGTATCCTCTTGAATTACTTCATAGTGATGTATGAGGATCTGCTCCTGAAACTTCAATAAATGGATTCAACTACTATGTGTCATTTGTTGATGATATGTCCAAATATACTTGGTTATTTCCTATTGCTAGGAAATCTRATGTTCATAATGTTTTTCAGCATTTTAAGCCGTTAGTTGAAAACTTACTCTCCTCTAAAATTAAAATTCTACGTAGTGATGRAGGAGGTGAATTTGTTAATCACAATCTCAGTTCCTTTCTTCACCTTCATGGCATTATGCATCAAAAGTCTTGTGCTTACACCCCTCAACAAAACGGCACTGCTGAAAGAAAACACCATCATATCATAGAAGTTGCTCTTACTCTCATTTCGAAGTCTTCTCTTCCTCTTAAAGTTTGGCCTTTTGCTTTTTCCGCTGCTGTTTTTCTGATTAATAGGTTGTCTTCTCCTTCTTTATCCAATAAATCTCCATATGAACTATTGTTTCATCGTCGTCCTGATTACTCCTCCCTTAAGGTCTTTGGATGTGCTTGTTATCCTTTACTTAAACCATATATGTCTCATAAACTTCAACCAAAGACATCTCAATGTGTTTTCTTAGGATATCCGCTAGACTACAAGGGGTATTTGTGCTACAACATGAGTAACGACCATATTTACACCTCTCGTCATGTCATTTTTTATGAATCTGTTTTTCCCTTCTTTACTGTTCCCTCTTCTTCTTCTACTGTGCCTTCATCTTCTCCTTCTTCTTCCTATTCTGTTCTCCCTCTTTTATATTCCCTTTTTTGTCCTGATATTTCTTCTACTTCACAATCATCAACTACATATCCTTTATCATCTTCCTTACCCACTATGACTCATCATCCCAGTAATTTTGCTCCATCATCACATGCACCTCAGACATCTCCTGTTTCTGACCATAATGAGTGTTCTTCGGTACATTCTGATGTCTTGCTACCTACAGCACCTACTTTGCCCAATTTACCTACGGTTGCTTTACCTAATAATGTTCATTCGATGCAAACACGAAGTGAATCCGGGATATCCAAAAGGATAGCCTTTATGGCCTCTAATTCTGTTGAGTCTATGGAACATACTTCCTTTACAGCTGCTTCAAAGTTACCTCAGTGGCAAAATGCTATGACTGAAGAGTTTGATGCTCTCGTTAATCAACATACTTGGGTTCTTACTCCTCTGCCTATTGGGAATACTGCTATAGGTTGTAAGTGGGTGTATCGAATAAAGCATAATCCGGATGGGAGTRTTGCTCGTTATAAGGCTCGCTTAGTAGCCAAAGGATATCATCAAGAACCCGGAATTGATTATGAGGAAACATTTAGTCCTGTTGTAAAGAAACCAACTGTAAGGATTATCCTTTCTCTTGCTGCTCAATTTGGTTGGTCCCTTCGGCAATTAGATGTTAAAAATGCTTTCCTCCATGGTGAGCTTAATGAGGAGGTTTATATGCAACAACCTCAAGGCTTTGTAAGTTCTTCTCAGCCTCAGTATGTTTGTAAATTGCTGAAACCGCTTTATGGCTTAAAACAAGCACCTCATGCTTGGAATGAGTGTTTTACTTCCCACTTACTCACTATTGGCTTTGAAGGTTCTCATGCTGATTCTTCACTGTTTGTGCGACATTTGGATGATTCTATTACATATCTCCTTCTCTATGTGGATGATATAATTGTTACAGGCAGCAATGTATCTTATATTGATGATTTGGTCTCCCAACTYCRTCTTCGGTTTGATATGACTGACTTGGGCACCTTGAAGTATTTTTTGGGGCTTGAAATTGGTTAYTCTGCTGCTGGAATTTCAATCCATCAAACCAAATATTCTCGTGATATTCTTTCGAGGTTTGGTATGCTGAGTTCCAAGGTCTGTGCTACACCCATTGCACTTACTTCATCTGTTGCTGATGCTAATCCTTGCTCTGATGCCGATGCTTGTGTTTATCGTGCCATGATTGGTGCTTTACATTATCTTACGTTTTCAAGACCCGATATTGCYTTTTCTGTTGGGAAGTTGTCTCAATATATGCATGCTCCTTTGTGTTGTCATTTGGTTGCTGCTAAACGAATATTGAGGTATATCAATGGCACTCTGTCTTTGGGTCTTTTATTTCGCAGGGATGCYTCAGTTCTTCGATCCTTGAGTTTGACTGCCTACTCAGATTCTGATTAGGCGGGTGATTGTTCTGATCGTCGTTCCACCACCGGTTTTGTTATCTTCTTAGGCACTAATCCCATCTCATGGGCAGCCAAGAAGCAATCCACCGTGTCTCGTAGCTCCACAGAGGCTGAGTATAGAGCATTGGYTGTTACCAMARCAGAGCTTTGTTGGATTCGACAACTCCTCAAGGATCTGTATATTATTGGAGCTCAACCCCCTCTGCTATATTGTGACAATGTATCTGCAATTCAGTTGGCACGCAATCCGGTGTTTCATGGAAGAACTAAGCATGTGGAGATTGACTTTCACTTTGTTCGTGAAAGGGTTGTTCGGAAGGATCTTGATTTGAAGTTTGTCTCTTCCACGCTTCAGCTGGCGGATCTGCTAACCAAGCCCCTGACTACTGCTCGTTTTCAATTTTTAAAATCCAACCTCATGTCTTCTTTAAGACATTTGTTTGCAGGGGTATGTTAATGATAGATATTAAATTTGTTACTAAGTTGTTATTAGTACAGTTATTTGGTTAGCAGTTGGTTATTGTAATCTGTATATATATGTAAGCTTACATTATTATTAAATAGAATTGAGAGCACTTCCTTATTTTTGGAAGATTATAACAGTGGGAAGGTTCAGATTAGTGTTCTTATGCCAGTTTAGGTAGGGAAGACAAATGTACGGGGGTGGAAACGAGTGGCCCGACTGAAGTGGTCGGAGACGAGCGGAGCGAAGGAGAGTTGTGGGAAGAGGAAGGCAGAGGTTGACCAATTGGATGATCAGGCGGATCTAAAGAGGAGAGGAATCATGGTGTCAGAGGAAGTTGATACTAAATCATCAATGTTAGACATGATATCGACAGAGGTTGGATCCCAGCCCTACCGAAAGCAATGAAAACGATATGTTGGAACGTCCAAGGTATAGAGAATCTGAGTATGTTCCGAGTCAAATGTGACTTTTTAAGTCACCAATCCCCATGACCAATTTTTGTGCAAGACTAAGTGTAACAGCCTAATTACAAGTAAGATAAAGAAGAGGTTAAACCTGCATGGATGCTTTACGGTGGATAACAGAGGAACTAATTGTGGGTTATGTCTTTTGTGGGATTCTGAAGTTGATGTAACTATTCGATCGTTCTCTTCAAATCATATTGTTGCATGTATAAAGTGGAGAGAGTATGGTTGGAGGTTCACAGGATTTTACGGTCATCCAAATGCTTCCAAACGATGGGAAACGTGGGATCTATTGAAACGGCTACATAATGCTGATGACTCTGCCTAGCTGGTAAGGGGAGATTTGAATGAGATTCTATGAAAATTTGAAAAAGAGGGGGGTGGTCGGAGAAGGAGCACTCAGTTGGCTGGATTCCATGAGGCTATTAATGTTTGCAGGCTAATAAAGATGGACCTCGTGAGTGACCAGTTCACCTAGAACAATAGGAGGAAAGGTGAAGAACAAATCCAAGAAAGACTTGATTGTCTTTTATGTAACAATGCTTTCTCCAATATTTTTCATTCCTATCAAATAAGGCATCTCAGTTAGGCGAGGTCAGATCATAGGGCTATCAGTACTGCCTTAGCAATGAGGTTTGGAGGGGTGTAGGTATAAGAAAGAAGTGGCTGTTTCGATTCGAGGAGATGTGATCGGGGCACAAGGAATGTGAAGAGTTGATCGCAAAAGGTGGATGAAGTAATAGGAGTGCTGAGGGGGAGTCTTTAACCTTTCTGTTGAAGAGGTCAGAGGTGGCATTGAGTTAATGGGGTAAGGAATTGACCAGGAAGATGTTCAAACAGATAGGCAAGCTGAAGTTGGCC